ATTGATTGGTTTGGTTAGCATTTTAAAATGTTAAATGTTCGTGATGTTGGCCCGAGAAGAAGAAATTAGTTTGAGATCACATTTGATTTCACGTGTTATCTTTAAACATAGTGGATGATGTGTGCGAGGTATAAAATTTGGTTAATCATTTCTCATAGTGCACTCCACTGTGTAGAAATTGATTTAACATAAAGAATTGAAAAATGCATGTTTTGCATGCCATGTCCTGACAGCAAATGTTGACAAAACAAAAGAAACCTTCCAGGATGAATAGAATAAAGCTAAAGACTACAGGTACAAAGAAAAAGAATATAAGAACTAGCCATCAAACAAATCAGCTAAAGTTTCCATGTTTTAATCGGTCAGCAGAATCTGATGTCCACTGTGTGGATGGATTCTCCCTGAAATTGCCAACATTGCCGGCCTAGCTGCACCTTTTTCTTCTCTTTATTCTCTCTCTCTCTCTCTCTTAATATTAATTTTGAATGCGTTTTATATGTGTACGGCAATATCGTGTTGGGCTTTGCCACGGTAATCCCGGGGTGATTCGTAGTGCCTGACCTCAATAATAAACAAACATTAGATTTTTAGTCAAATGGAAACTAATGAACATAGCAAGTTGCAGAACATCCGCCTTGTCTTTGCCAGCGCCGTGCCGTGCCGTCACTTGGCCAAGTGGACTGCATCTTTCGGCATGATTATAAGTCCAATACAATAACTGGGCGGTTTGAATATTTCATGTTTCGTTAATTCTAAATTTCTAATGTAATAGTTTATCCTCTTTCTTTTTCCTATATAACCACGTCTCTCTTCATAACGCAGCTACACATGTACTATTCTACCCCATATAATGCAAGGAAGTAGCTATGCTTTTATGGAGTATTCAATGTCATGGTTGACTCCAAATATATATATATATATATATATATATATATATTCTAGTTAACTTTCCTAAGAAATAAAATAAAATTTATTATTTTTTGAACTAATCTAGTTTTGATTATTTTTATGTCATACCTAGACAAACTTTTTTTATTAAAGAATAATTATATTTAGCATTTGGTAGCTCTTTACGTCAAATCATCTTAAATTTGATATTATTAAAGAATAATTGAGGTTTGTTTTTTTTATAAATAATGAAAATTGAACATTAATATTAACTAAACCTAAACAATCTTTTTATCATTTGATCAATTTTTTTTTGTAACTGTGTGTTTGTCTCTTATGTGATACCAACTCTAATTGATATTATTAAAGAATAATTTTGCATAGTATTTGATAGTTTTTTAACCTCAAACATGATATTATTAAAAAATAACCATGATTTGTTTTTTTATGAATAATGAAAATTGAATATTGATATTAAGCAAACCAAAACAATCCATTTATCATCTAACTGAATCTTTTTATGACTTTAAAATTCATTTAAAATGCTAAAATTCTGTCATATATGGTCCAATTTAAGTATTTCATATTGTTTTGTTGTTTCATTTATTTACGTGATGCAAGAAAGTTTCTCAAAATATGACTTGTATTATATACAAATCTAAATATGTCCAAAAATATCCAACAATTTTCCTAGAATGTGGAGCAAAACCGAAAACCTTTTATAGTGATTTGGCACACTAGCAGAACCGATTCCACTTTGGTTGGTTATTTTTCCTAGCTACACAAATACTGGTAAGGAATATCATTTCCTGTTTTTCCAAAGACATAAATTTCATTAAGATTGAGAGTATCCCAAATTAATTTTTTTTTTAATTACAATAAATGCTCTTGTCTTTTCATCCGCGAACATAGGTATATATGCCAAAACCAGATGTTATTGTTTCCTTTCGTAAATTGTGATTTTTTCTATATTTATTCAATCATTAACTTTTTTTTTTTTTTGTATTTATATGCTATAAGTGTTTTTTTAATTATATATATACATATTCAAGCAATAAAGTGAAAAAAAAATTCACGTTAAAATGATAATTTTATGATCTTCTTGTTTTCATGCGAAGGAAAATCAAGAGTAATGGTACTTCTTTTTCGTCTCCGACAAAATTATTTACTCGATTAGCTCGATCACAGCTGGAGTTCGGCAAAATGCCACCTGAATATGTCAAACGCCCTCATCCTTATTACCACGAATTAATTTTCCCACACCATTCCACGCACTCTCCGGGTGTTCGGGCTTATGTGTGGTCACACCAACGTCAAATATTTGTTGATGTGAAAGGAACGGTAGATATATTTTAAAAATTAAAAAAAATTAAAACACCTAATAAGTAATAAACAATGGTTATTTTATGAATTTATTTTGAAGAAAAAAAAAGATACAAATAAAAAGAAAAAAAATTATAGTTAGATACATCAAAAGTGATATATTAGAGAGTCATATGAATCGTATTTTGAGATTTTATCTAACATTTTAAATTTTGGAATAAGATAATCTTTCAACATGATATCAAAACTTAAAAAGATCTAGAGTAACAAGTTTTAGTTGTATTCATCATCGTTTTTTTTTTTTTTTTACTAGCTTTATTTCATCAAATCTTGATAAGATCTTTCTACTTCCTTATTTTTCTATAAAAATCTTACCTAAACTTCATCAATGGCTAGAAGAGGAAGAACAATAGATTTTTCATCTAATTCAAATGCAATCTTACCATTAGAACATTCTTCATCATCGTATTTTTTCATCATTCTAATCATCGTGGATTTGTGATGGTTTCTCCTAAACTTACTTTTAGTAACTAAGCATCATTCTTATCGGCTTTTTCAATTAGAAATAAAATTGATTTTGTGGATGGATCGATTAAACCACCTACGACTAATGATCTTCTTTATACCGCTTAGATAAGATGCAATAACTTGATTATTACTTGGTTATAGAGGCCTATTTCACTTGCGATTGCTTCTACGGTATTCTACATTGATTCTGCTTCTAAGATTTGGGAGACTTTAAAGAAGAGATTTCCACAAGCATGATGATGCGGAGATTTGTAACTTGCAAATGTCACTTTGGAGTAGATCATTTTTATCGACTCTTTCAATTAGAAATAAAACTAGTTTTGTGGATGGATCGATTAAACCACCTACATCTAATGATATTCTTTATTGTGCTTAGACAAGATGCAATAACTTGATTGTTGCTTGGTTATAGAGGTCTATTTCACTTGCGATTGCTTCGTAGTATTTTACATTGATTCTGCTTCTAGGATTTGGGAGACTTTGAAGAAGAGATTTCCACGACTCGATGATGCAAAGATTTATAACTTGCAAATATCACTATTTTAAGACACCTCGACTCGAGAAAGGAATGCTCAACTTTCCTCTATTATCACCTAATGATACAAATATTTAATAAAGATAATCTCCAATTATAATGCTAATCAAAACACAACTCATTGTGATAATACTAACATTGTTGCAAATTAGATGTAATGATAGCATATCACCATCACCGTCACCTCAACTACTAATGGCAAAAAAGATAATCCTATATTTCTTATCATGCTAGTTGCATACATGACAATCTATAAAAAGATCCAAATCACTAAGAGTTAAGTGGTCTAGATTATGAAAAAGTTTGGAAACTTGAACATTCTTCTCATTTTAAGAATATCTATTTGTAACTAAACTCTTTTTCTAAAAGAGCATTTTCTAGCCATTTTGCCACCTTCGAGTACTAACTTAATCGTTAGAGGGTCCTTCATTTAATTGGAGACCTTGTTTTGCTTTGTAGGTATCTAGCGCAAGAAATCATCCCAACACTTCTATTAAGTTCCAAACCTTGGGCTATGTTTCTTAATTTTACTTGACAAGTCATCCACGACCCATCACAATTTATTTGATTAGTTTTTTGCTAATACACCTATAAAAATTATTTATTAAAAAAAATAATAGTTCTTAAAAGATTACCGTGAACTGATTTATGTGGAACATTGAGTTAAAATTTAGAAATCATTTGTGTTTTGCAATAATTTGCAAGGTAAACTTGTTATTTTTAAATATCATGCATTCCTAGACTACTATATATTATTTGTATCAATTTTCTTTATATCCTTAAGAAAATAATGCAAAATAAATAAATAGATTAAAATTATATAAAATTCTTATACGAAATAATGTTTCGGCTTTTTGCTTATACTAATGGTCAAACCCTGGTTATTGATGCAAATATTTGTGGTATTATAGTTCACTTACATATTAACTAATTGTTGGATATTACTTTTGTATGTGTTCCGGATGTGGTTCAAAAATTCATCAAAAACATATTTTAGCTTGAGATCTCTTGACACCAAAACTGAATGCTTTAATTTTTTGTTGTAATTGTTGGTCGAATCTACTCCTTTAAGAATCGGGAAACCAAAACTCAAACATCTAAAAAATTGATGAAGCATAATTCAACTGACCCTAATGCAAGGCTAGTCGAATCTTTCGTACTAGAAAATCCAAAAATTTCAACCCTTAAAATTGAATAGGCTGAAACTTGCTGATCAATAAAAGAAACATTACCTTAAGTGATCAATTTCTAAAATACTAAAAAACATAGAATCTTAAGCAAATATAACGCATACGAATCCTATGTAAAAACACAAGGATATATAAGATAATTTTGAGAAAAAATTCTCAAAAACTTTACCACTTAATAAAAATTGTTTCTCTGCATGGCATAAGATGCCTTAAATAATTACTCAAAAACCTGGCTAAGCAAAAAAAAATACTTATCCAATTTGGATTACAAAACCTTCAGCCTAATATCACTAGAAAACTTAAAATCCTAAACAAACAAATACAACAAGTCCAATTCAAAATTAATAAAAACTAATTAATCTTGTCCAAATTACATCTAAATTTTTAAAATAACAACTCTTATAGAAATAAAATACTATAATCCAACAAAAAAGTAATCTGAATTACATAAAGAAAATAGGTAATTTAACATGAAAATTCTGGTCCTAATTAATTGAATTAGAAAATTCCGCTCACAGAGGATCATCTAGAATAGGTCAGTCTCCCATGTCATCCCTCGTAACTTCACTCTTTTTAGTAAGTTGGAGTATTGATCAGTACAATTTCCAAAAGTACCTTAATTAAGTTTCAATCCTAAGATTATAGATTACTTTTAAAATTGTGTAGACAAGAAGGATGAAATGGTATGTGGTGTAGGATTTATACTCCATCCTTATGATTATTATTCTTTATTTATTTTGTTGATAGATAATTTTTGTACGATTTGTATATTTTTGAATTATTTTTAAAGGAAAAAAAATTGAAAAGCTTCCTTGGTAAACAGTAGAATCTGTTCAAAGCCCTAGTGCTCGTGGCAACATATCGTGTGAACAGAGCTGACACCGTCCTGCCATTCCCACATCAAACTCCCCAGAAAAGCAATATAAAAAAGAGAAAAATATAAAAACCAAAGGCTGACACAAAACAGCAAATAATAAATAAAAATTAGCTAGACCTTAAAAACAGACAATCTGTAAATAGCGTGCACGATGCGTCCCCCTCTTCACCCGTCCAAAAAGAAAGGCCTTCAGGTCAATGTCTATTTACGCCTTTTCCCGCCAAAAGCATAGTACCTATCCTCTTTTCGGGAACTCCGACCATTGGATACCTTATCAATGTACGGCTATTGGCTAAGCAGCTGTCCTATGCTGGTACTTTAAATCGGTGCCCCTCTTTACTTCTCAACCATGCGATCTTTTTAAATCTGGCCGTTTACAATCTACGACCGCAAGTTCATCAGAGTGGGGACTCTCAGTTGTGATCATTTCTCTACCGTATGATCCATGATCTACTTGCATCACCGAAATCCTCATGGAAAGTGATGCCCACATCTTCTTTCGATCTAGTCTTCTGATACGGTTAACATCACCCATCCATCCACTGCCAAACATGTGGGTCTACTTTTGGCAAACGTATCAATCTGTCTAGATACCCATCATTTATTTATTTTTTATTTCTGTAAATAATTAAGATTGGATTGGAAAATTGAAAAGGAGGATTTTATTATTTAATAAGGAAAAGGGAAGGGCCACTTGGAAACGTGCAAAGATTAGAAGGGATGAGTTGACAAAGTTGATTTTCGAGGAGGGGATGAGCTGATACGGCAGCTGCCAGACTACACCGTGAAACAGGCGACACAACAGTATTAGACTTGAACATGTCATTGAATTGAAAACACCTACTTTATTTTCACTCCGAATAAACTATTTTTCTTTTTGTAGTTATGTTGTGGTGGCGCTATTCGTCTTTCAAGATCCATCCATCTATTATAACGTTGATATTAATGAATCCTCCGTGAATCTTTTAGGGAATACATATAAAATATATACGAGGAGGCGAGACGATATAATTTTATAAATGAAGTCTAATTCTACCCATCTTATAGAAATATAAATTTATGAAATTTAATTAACAAGGCATTGAATTGATTGGAGCATCTCTAATACTATCTTTATATTAAGATTTTTCTTTATAATAAAGAGATTTAGCTCAAATTCCATTTCCAATGCTCTCTTTATCACAATCTTTATCTTTAAAATTGAGATAGAGAGTGTCTTTGACTCTCTAATACCTGGAGAGTCCAAATGACTCTTTATCTTATATTTTATTAATGAAAATTACTATTTCTTATGTCACTCAATCTCTTCAACAATAATCTCTTCGAGTTTTATGGATTTTGTCAAAATAAAGAGTTAAAGTAGATAGTGACATTAGAGAGAACATTGATCTTCAATCTATATAATTAATGATGCTCTCTATTTATATTAAAAATACAAGCTAAAAGTAGAGAGCACCATTGGAGATGCTCTTAATGATGGTAATTGACTCATCGACTTTACTTTCGCATTCCAACAGGAAGAATCTACGAACATACAAAGACTTGCACGGCTTCCGACCTGATTCTTGTCCATAAATCATAAAAAAGGCAACAACTCATCAAACGGATCCAAACTCTCAAGTAGACGACTATGAACCGCAAAGCAAGCCGTCCTACAATAAGAAATTTAAAACCTTATATCTTAAGGTGCTTCGATCCGGAAAAGAAGAACATTACTTTCCTTCACTATTGCTACCAAGACAAAACATTTAATAAAAAATATTTAATAATAATATCAATTAGATTGTGACTCATTATAATAAGTATTAATGTCATTATAGATCAAATACAATGATAATAGAGTAACACCACTTATCTCGCTCACCTACTACTATCAAAAGAGAACTAAAGAAAAAAGGTGTTCTTGTTTTTTCATCATACAAATTGCATCCATGATAGTCTATGTAAAGACTCAAACTACCACGGAGTAAGAGGTTCCAATTTCTTATTCCGAAACGAGTTCAAAAAAGTATTTTTTAAGCTAACTCGTTACCTTTCGATCACCAACTCGATAATCAAAAGATATCTTACTCAACTAAAGAGATTTGTTTTACAAGTATACATCACAAAAGAACCATCCAACAGCCTTCAATGATCATCCAATCACTATTACTTCTTATGTAAGCTACGTTTTTCAGCTTTGCTTCGAAGAGTTAATCCACGACTCTTTAATTAAAAATACAAATATCATTTTTAAAATATCAAATGATGCTAAACAATGAAAAATATACTTCAAAAATATATTTAAATAACTCGGATTAACATGACTCATCATTGATCCATACATTAAATATATAATATAATGACTTACAATTTTCTTATTATATTTTTTTTATTAATTTTTAACATTGTTAAATTATCAAATGCTCATCTTATTAATATTGTTTTCTCTTGTTTCTCTAATCATAAACAATTGATATTTTTAAAAAAAAATTAATCTATCGAAGTCATGGTGCATAATAGTTGATCAAGTCTCACTTTTTTTAATTAATTGCATATTATTAATGATTAATTTCACGATTTAGTATTTTTTATACATTAAAGTTAGATACTATTTCTTTTTTAGTAGAATGACATATGCATTAATATGACTTAAACTCGCAAAAGCTTGAGACTTGTTACCTCGATGATGATACAAATCGAGTTAATCATTTAATTTGAGCTTGTTTTTAAGTTTGTCTTATGATCGAATCAACCCATCTCAACTCAATTCAATTTGCTTATGAACCATTCAACAAAGATGATAGATTAAGCATATGAATAAACTCATCTTTCTCAAAGGGTAAGGGTGCAAATATGTTTGTATTGTAAGGGGGCCATACCATCTCAATTTTTTTAACAATGAAATGTGATCCTTATATAAGATCCATTTAATTAGACTCATATAAAGACTTTACTTATTATACCTCATTCATATATGTTTTATTTTATTCTTATTTTTATACTTGATGATTCTTGCACGGAACCTCCGATAATTTCAATGTTAGAAGCTTTTGTTTTGCATAAATTAGCTATTTTTTTTGTTAGTAAAATATTTTACAATTAACGTATAAAATTAATTCATTTTTGTAAAATATTTACAGCTCATGAAGTTTTGTAAAATATTTTACGAATAGTAATCGTTAATAATATCATTTAATCATTGCAACTATCGTTGTTGCTCGCTACTATATTCATTATGTCACCGCCACCATCACCGCCTTCACCCTACCACCACCACCACTTTTCTCCTACTACCACAACCCATCACTCCACCACCATAACTACCGTCTTAACCTCTACCCTTACTCCCAACTCCATCACCGCTACCACCACCACCACCACCACTCTTCCATAACCATAACCATATCATCATCATTCTCTACAATCATGTTTTTCACACCCTATGTATGTAGAAAACATTGTAAAGTATTTTACATAAACATATTTAGCATGTAAAACATTTTCCATTGCAAATGCTATAATATTTTCTCTTGTACATTGCAGATTTCAAACCGAAAAAAAGATAGTATAGTTGAGACAAGGATAGCATAAAAATTAGAAATAAATATATAGTTACTCTTACTATGCAATCGAAGGCCCTAAAAATCTCATTTAAAATAATTTAAATGTGAGTTTAATTTATAAACTCCTATACAAGCTTATTAGGAGGGTCAAACTTGAATCCCATACCTTAGACTCATTAAAAGAGCTAGTCATGTATGAAATTTGTTAAAATTAGACAGATCCGTCCCTACCATATCAAAATTTGATCTAGCTTACTTGTAATCCTTTGATTTATTAATACTAAGAAACTAATTGCAACTTCACCTTTTAATTTAAGTTGTTTATCATAGTTTTGAGTTTTATTTTTTGTGAAATATTTGTACATTCTTATGAGTCAAAAGTGATAAAAAAAATTTTAAAAAAATTTTGTTAAAAAATATCCATATTTAATGAAAATTAATTCATATTCGATTAAAGATATAGCCATTCCTATAATTATCCAACATGAAAAATTCTCAAAACACGATCTTTTCATGACTTGATCTAAAATGACGATAAAGTTAAAATGTGCGTAACATGTCCGTCGCTCCTTCACAAATGTTGTACCTCACCATACATTGAGTGATAATAATTTTTTTTATCTCTTTAAGATAGAAACACATAAGAGGTTGTAGCTTTGTAACTTTTCTTATTTCATCAACTTCTAGACTCTCGTAATTTGTTTATGTTAAAATCGTGTATTTTTATACAATTTGAAGCTTAATTCCCTTATTCTACTTGACAAAAAAAGTGTTGAGTTTGGTATATGAATAAGAAATCTCACATAGTTTCAAGTGTTTATATATAAGATTGACCTATGGTATATTGGTCTAGACTTTTGGGTTAAAGTAGTGTTCATCCTTATGTGTAAGCCATCACATGTGCGGGTTCAAGTGATTCTCAAGTGTAGATTTCCTAAAAATTAGTAACATCGAAGATCACCTTTACTATAATAATTTAATTTTGTCAATTGAATCAAATGATGAGAAAAAATAGAAGTTGATGAACAAAAAACTATAATTATTATTAGAAAATGGGTATCTTCTAAATGCATCAACCATATTTATAATTTTGAAAGTTATTGGAAGAAATATTTGTTAACGAGCTTGAGCAAAACAATATTTTTATGATTAGAGACCTTATAAACTTAATTACAATGACGGTGAAGGTGTTTTAATGCACTTAAATAACTTTTAAGGGTTTTTAAATTAGTTATCTTTGATGAATCTTGAGTTAGTCGATAAGATGCAAACACTAATCCTATTGAATTCATGCTGAATAATTGAAAGACTTTAGTGGTCTCACTTAATAACTCTATTATGAATAAAAAGCTTGTTTTAAATATATTGAATAATATTATTCTTAATGAAGAGAAATGAAGGGAAAAGGTCATGCATTGGTAGAAAACTAAAGGAGAAATCAAAATAGATTTTTTTGTAATAAGTAGGATAAAGAATCGAATGATAGAAAAAACAAATAGAAGTCTAAAGAGAGATCTTGTTCAAAAAAGAGAATAAAATGTTATTGTTGTGATATGTCCGGACATATTCAAACGGATTATAGAAAGTATAAAAAAAAACGAGAGAGGTAAAATTGAAGACATAAATAAAAAAAATGGCATAGTTATAGTTGTTTTTTAAGATGAAATTATTATTATTTATGATGACAAGTTGGGTAAATCTTGCTTGTCAATATACCACTTGGGTTTCATATTTGGTTGCTTCTTACCATATTATATCTACATGATATTTCTTCATATTATACACTAATGGAGACTTTGGTTGAGTTAGGATGGAAAATCAAAAGATGGTTAGTGTTGTTGGTATTGGAGATTTTTTATTAGAAAACAATACTGGGTATAAGTCGTTGTTAAGGATGCTAGGCATATTCCCGTTATATGCCTACAATTGATTTTTAAAAGTACACTTGATAAAGAAGGCTACCATAATTTTTTTAAAGATGACAAATGGATGCTCTTTAAAAGGTTCT